GACTTCCCTCTGCTGGCCTTCAAAGTCTGGAGCGTCTCCGCTTCTCCACTTCATTGCTGCCGCCGTATTGTTATGCCTCTTTCCCGCCATTGTTGCCTATTTTGCTGGACTGTGCCATAGGCAGTACTCAGTTTGGGGTTGAGGTGTACAGGTAGTGCCTCAATTGGGCGTGCAAACTAGAAAAATTCTGTGCGTCACATTCGGCACCTGGCGCTTGTGCGTGTCGGGGATCAATAGGAGAAACGACGTCGTATAATTTTTAAGCCGAAGTAATCATTCTGAGACCATCTACAACTGGGGAGGGAACAGCCTCCCTGCGGCTTCCATCTCACACTGCGCAATCTCCTCGCTTATGGTTGCCTGTTTAGTAACCTCCACCACTGTCTCTCGATAGCCTTGGAACGCGGAGCAAATTGCCTTGATGACCTCCGCTAGCCCACTATCCTGCTTTTTAATGTATTGCTTGTAGGCGGTAATTTGTTTTCGCAGCATAATATTCTCCTCGTCACTCGCACGTAGAGACTGACAAAGCGTCTTGTTTTGTTCCTGAAGCTGACCCAGTTGTCGTCTCATTTCATCAGCAGTGGCTTGGTACTTGGGAGACTGTCTTGGTGAGACTAGAGGCCGAGCGACAGGGGGGCGATCTTTGCCTTTACCGCTTAGGTCGGCTTGCTCAGGCAGGGGCGGGAGTTCTTTCGCCTTGTAATTAGCCATGGGGGTCAGGAATATTTCGTTTGCACTCGGAAGTTGTAGCACGCATTGAGACAAAGTGGACTGAAGTCAAGGTTTTATGTCCTAAGCGAAATTTGTCAAAAGCTAGTTGAGGTAACTACGTGGATTATCTTTAAACGTTCATGCAGCCTTCTGTCACACTGTTCCACTCCGCCGTCCACTACCGCCCGGGGAGGCCTGATCGACAATGCATGGCATTATGTGGATGCGCATTGACCGTGCCTCTCAAGATCTTCCTCCAGATTTACGCGAAGAATGTGCGGCATCAGTCCCCTTGTAAAGTCTCTGAGGTTCTGCTTAAGGTCCTCTACGACCTTAAGCATGCCTTCAATCACTGCAAGGCGACTAAGCATGTCGCAAACGTTCTTGGCCAGCTGATCCACTGTTTGGTTTCCAGTAGCTGCAGCCTGCTCTAATGTGGCAATGCGGTCGTTCATTCCCATCAACATCCTGAGTAGTAGGTCAGAATGCAAGTCCAGCGTTCTCAATCTCAAGGTATGACTTGCCATCTCAAATCGTCGTTGGTTGTAAGTCCAGGGTGGAACGAGGATTGGTCGTAGGATGGCAAGGCACCGCCGTTGATAGGCCCATCAACAAGCAAGCTACCATCAAACCCAATCCAAGGTGCCCCCGGATTGAGTGTAGGTTGCCCACAAAGGGCGGGCTCACAGAGTGTGGTCGCCGGCGAGTTTGTCGGGAGAGTAGACGACTCATGATCCAACTGTGGCACTACAAGTTCGGATGAACTACTAGTACACTGCTCTTTTTTGGCATTTGGTGGCCCTTGTGTGCTCGCGGACAAGTTGAAGGTGAAGTACGACATTATGTTCGATAAGAAGAGGTTGGACAAGCAAGAATTGGTTCAAGTCTGTGATTCCGCCGAGCATGGACGCAATTAAATATAAGTATCTCGCTCAAATGTTACTGATAAGCGCCCATTAAATTTAACACCAGAAATCGCACCACGGCGCAATTGAATATAAACGCGCTTAAAGTAGGTAACCACGAATCATGGGTACAAAATGGTCTCGATCTACAGTATCCTGCTAGCCAACGGCATCACTAGGAAAGTGACCAAGACTTTAAGAAACAAAATGCATCTCAACAAGCTCTTCTCAATTCTGACATGCCTGCTGTGGCCAGCTGCTGCTATCCACAGCTTGTGCCTCACCTCCCCGGTCGTCTCCCTTGAGGCTGGACAATCGGTCTTGTCGGCTCAGTCAGTTGCATCCCGAGGACCATGACGCGGACACTTGCTAACCCGCCTACAAAGCATTAACGCTCCTCAGTCCACAAGATGTCAAGCCACCATGAGTTTTGGCGATTCCTCTTTCCTCCCTCTGCGCTTCAACTTCTCCACCACACCATGTGAAGGCCAACTGATCGCAAAATTTACCACCCCTGCGGAGGTCCCCAATGGGGAAGCAGATATCTTTTGGTGAGCACAATAACCATTCCATTGCAAACAGTTCGACTAACTGTGGTAGGCAATGCGCCGGACTGGCTCCATACTGCTATTAGGCGAATATAACGAATGGCACATCTGATCCTACCATGCAGCTTGATAGGGAGGCACAACTTGGATGCATTAACGAGGTACTCAGAACAACCAGTGTCCTTGTTGTCAAAACCATGTCCACTCGTATAACAACCGAAACTGCAGTGTCAGTCTTTACCTGGACAACGACTAGTTTCCCTAGATCACAGGAGACATCACCCACAGTCACACTCCCGTCCCAGTCATGGGTCACTTCTGGGGTGGCAACACCATCATCTACAGTGATGAACAAGGATCCAACGGGGACGGACACAACAGCCGCCCGGGCTCCGACTGCTGACTCCGTTCGAGTGGAGATCCCCCGGTCCGATATGATCGGAAGAACCGTTAGAACTACGGCCCCCTTGCCTGTGACAACAGACACAGTCTTTGACAGTGGCGCTTCCAAGGTCACCACCCCTCTTGTCAGCTCTGCGGTGACTACATTTTTGACGACGACACTATTGCGGACCTTAACGGTTAGTTGCGCAGCAGGAAGCGCAACAGGGAAGGCATAAATGGATCTTAGCTTGTGCATATTAGACTCTGGTCGGACGTGTTGTTGAGCTAGTTTAGGTACTGAAATACATACTTTATCGGTTTCCTCTCCGCCTGGTTTGCTTTTACGCATACTTGCAAATTTCTTCTGAAAGCATTTGATAATGCCTGACAGCCGTCTCCTTCCACTGCGACCTGCCCAAACAAAGCAGGATGTGATTACAGGCTCAAGTGATCCTCGGCAAAGCCCGTCGTCTTCTCTCAAGCTGGTCCTAGAGCAAGCAAACGCAGGATCGTCCAATACGTGCCGGGCCATTCATGCTCTATGGAACCAGGATGTGAAAGAAGTTACCTCGAGAATGTATCTGGTTAAGGCAAGCCTAAGTGCGTCTCAGGATGAAATGGCAAGGTGCGATGAGCAGCACGAAGAGGACATGCACAAACTTCGGACCAAGGTGTATGTTCTGGAGGAGAAGGTTCATGTCCTACAAGAAGACATGCTGAATTCCCGACAAGAGCACTATGATTTCAGCCAGGAATTACGTGCCGAGTTACATCGGACTCGAGAGCTTTTGCATCAAATAACAGGAGATATCCAAGTACTGAAAGACAATGAGGTTCGCATTTATGTATCTTCTTTCTCATGGCACAGTAGCTAATTACACGCAAAGAGTCCAGGCTTAGTCGAAGTTGCGAATAGCTCAGAGGGATCCGACTCTGCCTCCAGCCCAGCAACACCGGAAGCGATAGATGCCTGGGGCACCAAATAGCCAGATGGCTTCTCCATGCAATATTCCTTCTTGGTGAAGTCATCTGGACCGAGTACAACCGGCAGAGGGTACATATTAGCCTAGAGCAGATTAGAAATATGTCACACAAATATTGCCTCGTACGCCATACCATCTCATCTTGTGAAGGTGGAGGAAGTCGCTGGAGTATTGCCAGATATTGTTATCCTTTCTGCTGCGTACGCACAGGTAAACATCTACTTCGCAGTCCTTCTGTTGATCGTGTGCCTTCTTCAAAAAATTCCGTCTCAGCTTAGAGAAACAGCTGGATCTGTTCTTTTGTACCCGTTGCAGGTCACTGATTCTGACCGGTCGTCAATCCTTTGATGGATTGCACATTATATGATCGCTATATATCCGTGCAAGTTCATTCCCCATAAACGGTGAGAATCTTGCGACACGTCTAAAGACGTGAGCTGGATAATCACTTTACCTGGTGTGGAAAACCTACTGATTGCAAGTCATGTTGCTTCACTCGTGCCCTGTTGCAGGCTGAGACCTGATTCCTAACTACTCGTAACCTCTATATCAGTTGGCAATTTTAACTTTAGTACACCTTATCTAAGTTTAGTGACAGAACTCCTGGTATTATTCCTGTCTGAAGTTGTAAACCAATACGATTACCATGGAAAAGAATCCACATATTGCAGCGCCAAAAATCACCCAGCCATAGATCACGCCTTGGCCTATTACGGCGGTGAACCCCATGCTCGTGATTGCTCTCGTCGCATTTGTTAGTGAGACGACCGCCACGGTAACAGGTACTATCACTAGTATGGTACACAACAAGATGCCAACTCTAACCCAAATTGTAGGTTTTCTTGCAAGGAGCAGTGCACAACATATTACCGCTGCTGACACCGCGAGCAACATCTCAATTTCGGACAAGCACTCCAAGTGAATTGTAGATATCTGTTGGATAATGCGATTCGTCGAGTTCGTTGGTATTGCTAGAACTGCTTCGTCGTAGCGAACACACCGGATTGCATTGGTCAAGCTAACACAGGAGCCCCGAATTCCAATGGTTAAGTTTGTTGAGACATGAGCATCTTGTTTGGGTATCTACGGAGCATATCAGTTTTAGCTGACATTGTTCGTAACACGATACACACCTGAAAAACTATGAGGCCGCGGTCAGAAAATGCAGAACTGTGTCGAATAATGGCGGTAATTACTGTATTTGTGATAAAGGCTGCCAATGAGGCGCACACAAATGCATTCCTCTTCATGGTGGGAGAAGAGTTGGCTTAACGCGTTAGCTGGTGTGTCTCGTGGGGCTTGCGTTTTATTATCTGGTGAATTAAGCCTGCGCCAATCGAGTAACTAGCTAACTACATTTAAATTAATTCAGCCCGAAAGGCGTTTATACAATAAAGACGACCCTTGAGCCCTAAGTCGATTCTAGCTAGGGAGATGATAGATCAATGTACCCGCTCTACTCTCAATTAGTCCCCGATAGCAAAAAGCTCAGCCTCCTGTTCTAGGTGAGGAGGAGAGAAGGCATCATCATCGTTAATTTCAGGAATTTGCGGGTCATTTTCGGGATGGACATGCTGAGAAGGCTTCGACAGTGGTTCGCGACCTCGCTGAACTACTGATGTTGAATTCTGGGCATTCATAGAGGGCGGTAGCGCAGGTGTTGCAACAGGTGCTTCCAAGGGTCCCTTCCTCTTCCAGCGCACATCCTGTGACATGCTTGCTAGATCCTCCACTACTGCTCGTCCTAGCTCTTCGGCCGGCTGTATTTGGGTGACCTGCTCTCCCCCAGCCTGCTCTCCCCCAGCCTGCTCTCCCACGGCTTGAATACCCCCGTCCTGGTCCCGCTTCCTATGCCTCTTTTCTGGCACTTCTGCGGCTTCAGATACTTCATTATGCTTGCGTTTCTTTTCTTTGGCCCGATTTGGATTCTTAGTCGGGGGAGTCAAGTGCGCCAGCGCTTGAGTCGGGATACCCGCTGGATCTACTGGTGGGCCAACGTAGAGATCAGACGCCCGAGTCGCTGGGATGTCTGGGACATTCTGCTGCCCGAATGTGAATTTGGGCCCTCTGGCCCGAACGCGCGGCTTGTCGCGACTTGTTGCAGACCGAGCAATACCTCGAGGCATTTTGTCCTTTCGTTTCTTTTTGGCGCGCGTTTCATTATTGCCCCTTGACCATAACTTTAATACTTCACCTAGCCTTGCGTCTTCATCTATCTCTGGCTCACTCCTCCATGCCTCATTTGGCTCTGTTGTATCCACGTCCATTTCAGCACGAAGAGATGCAGCTGATACCAGCGATGGAACCTTCGGTTTACCTCCAAAAAAAGCTTGCAAAATATGGCTTTGCACACGTAGCTCTGGTGGCACCTTGTCATCTAAGGATTCCGCGAATAGTTGTGGGAAAAAAGACGATTGCAGTAGGATGTGGTACCCCGCGAGGCAAGGTTTTCCACTGCGCCAGTCCCTCCTCCTCTTCGGCTGGGTGTACGATATGTGCCGGTTCTCAATCGGGTGAAGACGCCCTTTCTCAATATTCGCGTTAGAGAAACCTAAATCTTTAAGAGTGACACAGAGACGGCTTAGAACGCTATTATCAAAATTGCCCGCCATCCACACTCTCTTGTCAAAGTCCCTTAGAGGCGCCTCGGGTGACAAGTAAGGGAAGTAGCGCAATGCGGCTAGAAATGCTTGAATGACTGCAGCGTCGGCAGTTGGCTCATTCACCTGGATCATGCGACCGTGGCCGACTTCCATCGAAGCCCCACGACTGTTCCAGTCCTTTTTTAAATTCTCAATAAGACTGGAACACATGGGCTCGATTGTATCAGCCCGGCTCTCTGACGGCCGGTTCTCAATGTGTTTCTCAAGGATTTTAGCTCCAATCGTCAAATATCTCATGTTTTCATGAAAGGTCTGGATGCTAGGTATTGAATCCGGGAGCTCAAGAATGTTGTCTTTAATTCTGTCTCGAGCACTCTTTGATAAAATGCCAGGAAACAGTGTTCCGTCCTCAAAAAGATCGCAGATCTGTGCTCGGTCTTGCGAATTCCACGACGGCGCCCGATATTGAAGAATTGCAACTGTATTTGCATTAAATAGATGCAGCTTGTCTTCATGTCCAGCCATTATTTTCAAAGCGACGTTCTTAATATGCACCCAATAGTTGATGATGAGCGGATTGATGCGGGCGGCCAGATGTTTTGCCCAGTTCCCAAGCTGAAGCCCATCCCAATAACCAGGAAAACAAAGCATGCTATCCATAGCTGCTATTATATCCGGATGTTTCCATAGACTTCCCAGTATCTTCCTCTTGGACCCCGACAGCTTGTCCATCCAGGCTTGGGCAACAGACACACGGTTCTTTTTCCAAGACCCGGCCATGTAATACCGCACGTTCTGGAAGACGGCACCATCGCAAATCTTGCGAGGTTGTACTAGCATATTGATAAGAACGTGACCAAACGGCTTCGATGGTAATCCTCAATTATGACATACCTGGAATGCAGTACAAGCGTACGTTGCAAATATGATCCCTTCCGAGGACAGTCTTCGCTCTGTCCAGATCCAAGTCCTTAGCAGCATAGAAAACTTGGTGGTCATTGATCAAAGGACTAGATTCCAATTCAAGCGTCGCATACAATTGCTCGGGTGAGTAGCTCAAGTCCCGTAAAATGTCATCTCTGGTCCTTGGAGTAATCCGAACTGAGATGGCATGTCCTGGATCACGAAGATGCTCAATGATGTTGATCGGGAATGACGATGAATGAACATCCAAATCCTCGCTCTTCAGACTCGACAAAGGGACTCGAACTTTTCCTTCTAGATACTTAGACTCCATCTTCTGTGGTTACTGGCAACTTCTTGGCGGCGTTGATGGTTTAGCCAAGCCAGAGTAATTATACAAATGGGTACTACTATTTGTCCTGCTGAATTAAATCTAGTACAGTCCAAGAAATATATAATACAAGTGTATCGTTTAAAGCCCACAACAACCAGTCCCCCGGTTCGGGGCGTCAGTGCCTCATCGGACAAGGCAAATTTAAAAATAATACTTAACGCCCAGGCTCCAGTGGACACCATCTCCCGCACGCCAACACACACAATCTTGCTGTCGCAATCCCCTAATCATGCAGCCCAACGACCTCCTCCACATTCGGTCTAGTGCAGCTGGTCTTCCTGGGCCATATCTGCAAGAAAACATGGCGCCGTACGAAATTCTCGACAAAATAGGCGAAGCAAAACCACGGACCATTCTTCTTATACAGGGGCATACTGAGCGAGGCGATGGTTTCAAGGGCGCCATGAGATTCCCATATAGAAAGTTTGCCATAGCCCTTCAGCGTCAAGGGTCTAACTTAGTGGTGATGTGCAACATGCACCAGCAACCAGGCAACGCCATACCTCGCATCATAGCGGGGCCCGTTCCAGGCAACTACTGTTACCACCTGGTGCAACAGCCGCCCGCAACCATGACAGATTTGGCTTACAGAGTTTATTGCGATGTCTTTGCTTTATTCAGCGACATAGTGTTAATCTCTGTAGCGGATTTCGGTGGACTTGAACGGGTCCTGTCGTTTGTATGCTCTTGGGTCCTGCGCCGACAGTTGCAAAAACCCAAGCTTCGGACTCACTTTGTTGTCGCAACTGACAAATACTGCTTAAAGGACATTCAATTTGAACTTCTAGCTACTATGATGGCAGACCAGTGGACACAATCAGTGGCGAGTGTAAAAAGAACAATAAGTGATTATACAGAGCTCAGCGTTATTAACGGATCTTCTGCCAGCCCTGGCCTGGTAGTAAAGCTATTTGGTCTCAGGAACCATCGACAAGCTGAAGGGCTTCACTTCACTGGGTCCGATACTAAAATACTTCTTCGCGCCGCTATTGCACATTATACTGCCAAACCCATGGAGACATTCAATTTGGTCGCCGCATCCCGCCCGTCATGGCCAGTCCCTGAAGAACTGGGCCACCACATCGGAGAATTTTTGGCGGCTTGCCCTCCAGAGCCTGTGGACCATTACCCTATCATTGCGTCCGCACTTGTAATGAACGCATTTCACCCAGGATTACACTGTGAGTAATCTGCCACTACAACCGAATATTTTCTAACGCAAATTAGCGTTTCCTCCGAACCTGACGTTTGAGTCTTTATATGTCAAGAATTTGGCCGCATTTGAACAGCAGGCAGGCTGCAAGGGCTTAACGGACCGGGTCCGCAGCGCGTTTGTCGACATCGCCAAATACACGATCGGACCCGCGGTTGAACCTAGGGTACAACATCTCGCCAGACTGCAAGGCTGGAGACCCATTTCGAGCGTGAAACTCCGAGCGACTTGCTCAATCTGTCTCATCAGGGCCGGCTTTTTCATGATGGATTGCAGCCACTTACTATGCGACTGTTGTGTTGCCACTTGTTGCTTGCCTGTACAACCTTGCCACTACCAGTCCTCACTGTGCTTTTTATGCCAGCAACCAAATCGTACTACGTTTGTGCTGAACCCGCCTACGGCTGGACTCCGCAAATTGGAGCTGGCCTGCCCAGCACCACGGCTGTACAACACGGCGGAGAGGCTGTTCTGTTCGCTTTTTTACATCGAATTGAGCCACAAACCAAACTTCTACACCTCTCCAGACAACTGCGTGGTCAAAATTCTTTGCCGGACGCCTCCGAGTCCGGCTCTCACGAGAACTCTAGCCTGGCTTCATGTAAACCGAATCCACATCAAGTACAGAGGCCATCAGTCTATTTCATTAGAAGCAGTGCTTTGCACGGCCGAGGTCTTACAGAAATGCTGGGAAGGGCAGCCGTTTTGCAGAACGGTGGTTATTGCTGCACATTCGCTGGATACCATAATCCAAATGCAGTTAGGCCCCATTGAAGGAAGGTTTCATCATGTCAGTAACTCTCCGTATAAGCTGGGTCATCTTCTTCAGCATCAAGAACAAGGCTGGCTCTTCAATAGCCAAGGACATCCGCAGAATTGGGAGCGGAGCTGTAATAGTGCACTTCAACTAGAACTAGACCGACTTATAGAGGTAATAAGATTGACATTGTAAATAGCTTAATTGTACACAACTGAAAAAAGATGATTCTAATGATATAAGACAAAATATGCAAAGTGGCCAAAGGCTGTTGAGATCATTCGAACTTCTTGATGAGTGCTAGGATTTCCTCTCTCTTGATCCTAGACAAAGGAGTTGGTTGGCGAATGTCCTCCTTTGTCTTGTGACTAGACTGCTTGGCCGGTTTTGTGATGCGAATGGGACAAATGGTTTCTGGGGAGGCACAGCGCTGGGCATTTGGGATGCTGTGAACCTCAGCCCATGGATGCAAGGGCTCTTCCATGAACCCCTCCCCCTCCTCACAGTGAGGAGTACGTACAATATTCAGAAGCGCGACACCAGGCTCTGCTTCCTCCATGATGCCGGGTGATGTTTCGCTTCCTATCGAGTCGACACATGATGACGACGATCTCGACGAGCGATTTTCTGTCGAGTCGAGACATGACGAGGATCTCGACGAGCTCATAGCTCTTAGGACCGCGACCCCCTTGCTTGGTTTGGACATATAGGGATCCACCTCATGAGGCCCAAGCAGATCCTGCTCGTTGATCTGTAGGAAGTCCCGAGCTAGACCAGGACGCGATTGATAGCCTCCTATACCACCATCGGGTCTCCTTGCAATGACCACTACATCGACATCGTATTGTCGGAATAAGGCGTTGGCTTTGGAAAACATTCCCCAGCTGCAGTTCAAAGTGCCGATTTCTGGTCTCTTGTTGACCTTTGAGCGCTGTCTCCGAGGCATTTTGGACGCTATGTTGAGATGCACAATGAGACTCGTTATGTATCAAGTGAGGGTGGCGAAATCTAAGGTTGTACTTTGGTGGGCGGCGTCTTCCTTTATCAAGACTTCTGTCCGTCTCCTATCTCTCGATTGAATCCGGACGGCTCAGCATCCGGCGGCAAAGCACCCTTTAATGAGATTGATGGCTCCGACTCCGAAGCGCCGTGCCGGAGATGGTGGGCCAGACCGGCAGTCGGGACCCCGATGTTTAAGTGGTCATGAGAACCGCCTCCTAGACGGCGAGGCGCCTATTAAATATAGCCATTCTATTATTAGTATGGCAACTTGCAGGCATCAATCTCTATCGGCATTTGTAGCAGTTCCTCTGCACTACACTCGGCCCGTTCTATCCTTAACCACGCCTTGATCTTCTTCTCCCATCAACAATCCAACATTGTGAGGTAACACTTCATTTCCCTTGGCCGAGCACCTGTTGTTGACGCTCTTAATGTCCCTCGCCGTTGGTATACCCTCATTCACTCCACGTTGGGTGTCATTGCGACATTAGAGGGAATATGCCATGCAGCTATAGCCTTGGCACATCATCCGTCTTGTTGACCTTTGAGCGCTGTCTCCGAGGCATTTTGGACGCTATGTTGAGATGCACAATGAGACTCGTTATGTATCAAGTGAGGGTGGCGAAATCTAAGGTTGTACTTTGGTGGGCGGCGTCTTCCTTTATCAAGACTTCTGTCCGTCTCCTATCTCTCGATTGAATCCGGACGGCTCAGCATCCGGCGGCAAAGCACCCTTTAATGAGATTGATGGCTCCGACTCCGAAGCGCCGTGCCGGAGATGGTGGGCCAGACCGGCAGTCGGGACCCCGATGTTTAAGTGGTCATGAGAACCGCCTCCTAGACGGCGAGGCGCCTATTAAATATAGCCATTCTATTATTAGTATGGCAACTTGCAGGCATCAATCTCTATCGGCATTTGTAGCAGTTCCTCTGCACTACACTCGGCCCGTTCTATCCTTAACCACGTCTTGATCTTCTTCTCCCATCGCCAATCCAACGTTGTGCGGTAACACTTCATTTCCCTTGCAATCATAACAGAAACCATGGACGACTGGAATATATGGTACATGGTAGCACTCTTCAGTTTCATTTGCTTAGCTGTACTCGTGTGGACTTTCAAGAAAACCGTCACAAACCCGAAACTCTTCCTCATTCGCCATTTCCGATACCCACTGGTATTTCCCAAAGGCTGGTTCAGCATCACGCGAGTACAAGCATTAACTGTGGTTCTCTTTATGCTATCAAATTGCGCGATAGTCTTGGCTCCTTCTTTCTTCGCAGATTGGAGAAAGCTTCAACAGCGTGCCGCTCTAGCCGCAGCAGTGAATTTGGCACCACTTTGTGTAGGAGGACGAGCCCCTGTTATTGACGCTCTTAATGTCCCTCGCCGTTGGTATACCCTCATTCACTTCACTTTGGGTGTCATTGCGACATTACAGGGAATATGCCATGCAGCCATAGCCTTGGCACATCATCCAAAGCCGGGGCAGATGACGAATTTTGGATGGGCTGTAGGTGTTCGCAAAATGAGAGCGAAGTGGCATACTGACAACAGCAGGTGCTTGGTTTGA